CTGAGCCTGAGGACGGTTATGAAGCATGGGACGCACGACAAGGTAGAGACACATTTAGAGTCTGTGTGACGACCCACGCTGGAGCGAGTGGCAACAGCTTCCTAAGAATCTGAGACTGTGGTAAAGCCCGCACTGGAGCAATCCAATGGGAAGGATTGCATCCTGCGGGTAGGACTCACGCTGGAGAAGTTTGTGGATTTTCCTCGTGAGTAGGGGATCCACTGGAGCAAGGGAAAATGGTGTAAGGACTCCTCTTCCTTTAAGAAAGGAGCGGCAGTAACAACATGGAATGAACTGACCTGCACTCCCCCATTCCCTGTCCCCCTGCGCTGCTGGGGGAGGAGGTAGAGCCGGAAAGAAAAGGAAAGCTGGGGGGTGTGCTGTTTTTAAGATCTGGCCTTGTTTTCTCTTTATCCTCTAAAGTAACTGGTTTTGTTTCCCTTTATCCTTTTAAAGTAACTGTTAATAAATTGCTTTGCTTTAAGAAAGCCAAGTCTGTTTTGCCTGGGACCATGGGTGCTCCTCTGTTCTTGTCTCGACCCTCAGTTCTTTTATTATATTTTTCTCCTCTCCACTTCACTGGAGAAGGAGTGAGAGAGCGGCTGTGTGGAGTTTAGTTGCCGGGTCGGCCTAAACCACAACAAGATCTTAAGATCAAGAACACTTTGATATTTCACTAATAATAACTGTGATAAACAGCCAGTGTCTCCTAGGCAGTACAAGGGTAGCAGTTTAATGAACGTCTCCAAGTGTGATTCTCAGTGTTAAACACAAAAGCCTTGTTCCCGTTATGTATGAAATGAGCTAATTTTTCTTAGGACAGTAGTGATCTCATAAACATTTTAATACCAGCTGGTGCAAAGTAGCTACAAAGAAATATATTTCCTCTTAACAGCAGCTCCTCCTTGGTGATCTTTGTTTTATGTGTGCCAGGGCTTCACCACTTCTGTGACTAATACTCATCACTTGATTCCTTTCCGAAAACCTAAGGACTAAGTCAAAAAATGGATGTAGGTGCCTGCCTACCTACTTCTTCTGGCCTCGAACAAGACATAAAAGAACATATGATCAGGTGAAATAATTTTAAGCTTTCCTATGGATTTGAGACAGCACTCTATTAAGCTTGTTAATTATTTTGTTAATGAACTAGTTCTCCCCAAAGATTTACTGAGGGATAATGCAATCAGAAAGTCATCAACAACCTTGCTAAGAGATAATTAATCATGGCTGGAAAAAAATACAAGTGCAAGTTAATCCCAGATTACAAGCAGAGGCTCTATACAGCTGTAGTGCAGAACTGAAATGCGAGCAGTCTGTGATGCAGAGCACACAGAGGCTCCAGTACAGGTGCGACGCTGCTCCGTTTTGCAGCCCTTCAGTGAGACATTCCTCTTTCTCGCAGAATCAAAGTTAGGTGCAGGAGAGTTTGGCATTTAATGGAGGTCTTCACAGGCATTAGCACACTCGGCAGGAAGCTAGCCAGTTAGAAATAGGAAACTGTGGAAAGGAGTAAAGGCAAGTACTAAAGCACAGACTTCTGTGCTTCTAACTTTGCTGTCACATAGACCTGATCTAGAGTTCTGTCTCAGTCCAGACCTCCTCTGGAGTTTGAGGCTCCTTTGTGACCCTAATCTGATGCACCTCTCCTCATTAGGTGCTCAGCTGAGCAGGACTGTCCCTCTCAGCGGACAGTGTTGGCATCCTTAGGGGTTGGAAGTGTCCAAGCAGTAATGTGAATCTTACTTCAAAAATAAATAGGCTCTGAAAGTTGAATTCCTCTCTCCCCAGGAATCAGATGTCTAAACCAGGAAGGAAAACACATCTGGGTCCTCTAACACTGTAACGGGGACTGAGGTTCATGCTCTGTGCTAAATGGTGTGCCTGATTCATACATCACTGGGTTGTTGGTAACAAGCATATGGACAGACGCTCTCTGAGCTCAGCTGCTACCCACAGCGCTGTTGCTTTACTATGGCATTCTGTGCTGGATTACTAGCACATTACAGCTGGCATAGCTATACTGCTCCTGATGCAGACATCGCCTTCCACCATGCAGAGCATTTTTCTCTTTGAGGATCTAGTCCAAAGTACCCTGTGGATTTAGCCTATGTCCTTTGAATTGGATTTTCTGTTCCTGTATGATTTTATTGTTATATTCTTCAGTTGCATGAAAGTAAGTATGTAGAAAAGATATCCCATCCTAAATGGTCCTTATTCAGCTCATCACAACCTCTTATGATAAGTCCTTTCTCTTGTTCCCGGATGGACTCCTCCACAACTGTCAGACAAAGGCAATGCACCTGAACTGAACTATGTATGATTCCCAGACATGTTGATGCAATATGGGAGGAGATGATCTGCTCTTGCAAAGTTTAGAGCATGCACCTGGAAGGTTTTTGAGTTGTCTCAGCTTTTATAAATGCATTTAGTCCCATGCAAAACAGCATAAAGTCAAGGCGGTTTTATGCATGGTTTTTAAAACCAATTATAGAAGGGCAGCCTTGCAAATGGGGATATAAACTATGCCATTAAGCCAGCTAACATATGGGTGGTGCCTCACAGAAGGGAAGAAAGAGAAATAATCAGGAAAAGAAAAATAGCAATCAGGAAAAAAAAAATAATCAGGAAATAGCAAAAATGTTGCTGGTGACAAATTTAAAATAAACTCAGAGTTCTGAAAGATAATACTCTAAGAAAATAAAGTTATTGGAGACTTTTGGAATAGACTTCAGGAAAAGCTACATCAAGAATGTAAGAGTGCAGAAAAGATTTGAAGACACGGTACTGAAATAAAAAGGTTAATTGCTAATGCTGTAATGTGATGAAATCTGTTCAGAATTTCTTGAATATTTTAATACTTAATAGTACATTGTTAAAGAGCTGTTCGGAGATTTAACCCTGTGACCCTCAATTAGTCATTGAGATGTAGACAAGACAAGTTGAGCAAAACTCTTTCAAGATTCATGTATCCATTTACCCCAAAGGGCACATATACCAATAAGACAGAAACTTATGTCAGACTAAGAAAAACCAGAGCACACCACTTGAATTGTTAAAAAGACTGAAGCTGTCAAAAGAGCTGTCTATGCCTACTAGACCATCTGAGGCCATGATATCTGTGTATGCTTCATTTGACTGTGGGGTACATCAGACCTTTGTAATTTATGTCTAACCTCAGTGCAGTCTTTTCCATTGTTCCTGTTTTAGGGAAATGCATAAAATTTGCTGGTGCTGATACAAAATTTTTCATATTTTTTGTTACTCTAAGACTTTGTGTACGTCTTTGCCAGTGACATAGAAATGCACATTTAAATATAAGCTCTTGCCATAGTCTGCTCAACCTATTACGGAGACAGTTTCACAGATTTATGGGTTTACAAGCTTATCAAATAAAAAAAAAAGGTGTAGGAAATGGTTAGGAAAGAAAAGCCATTGTTTAAAAACGTTAACATGCTAAGAAATACAGAACACAGGTGATGACACATCCCGGTTGATACTTTCTCCGGTCTGGAAGATGTTTACTGAAAGTAAATCAGGTTTGTGCTGTCAAAAGAGTATTAATTATGAAACAAAACCCCATAACCAAATACTACATATAAATAATTTCAAAATTCTTCTGATTTGTTTCTGTGCTGGTGGGTCACAAAAGCATTAAAGTGGTACATGGGCACATAATTAATATTATTCTCTATTATATCTCCAATTAAAGGTTTAAGTATTAAGGTGTATTTTAGCATACACAAAGTTTCAAACTTTGACTGCAGCAGATAGATCTAAGATCTGAGAATCACATATTCCACTTCCAACAAGGTATAGATTTAACAAGAATTTAATGTTCCTTAGTAGATAGCTCTCCCAAAATTGGTCTCCTGTGCTTAGATTAATCTAACTCCCACTTAAGCATTTTTTTGGACCATTAAACCATGAGGATTGCTTTTCCCTGGTATTAAGTTCAACAGGAACTGCTTATGTGAGGCATTTCCACTAACAGAAAATTACGGCTTATTTTATAGAAAATTGCTCAATTTACTTATTAATTATGAGTGTAGCAAACAGTGCTTAGATTGTTAGTTATTTTAAAAACCAGCAATCCTTAACACTTAGTGTGAAGCAAAAGAAACAGAAACAACACATCTTTCCAGATTTCAGTGCTTCTGACGAATGGATTCCTGAGTACTTGTGGAAATACTGCTCAATTCCAAACTGACCAAGACCTTTTGTCTACTTAGGATTTTGTTATGGGTCTCTCAATTTTACTCCGAGGGACAGTACAGGAGAAACTGAACTGGGCTTTCAATTTGTATGATATAAATAAGGATGGATATATAACTAAAGAGGTAAGGTCTATTTTTTACACTAACAACTAAAACTAAAGTTGTGTATCTAAGTCCTGCTTTCAAAGAAGGATGGCTTCATTGTTGAATTAGACATATTAATAAATGAACATATGTTATGAATCTAGACATGCTAAAGTAATTTTCTCATTTTAAAGGCATATACAAAAACTGAAAAGGGAAAATCTTCACAAAAATTGTAAAAAGTCAGAATTCTTTAGGTACATAAATATTTGGCTCCAACTTATACCTATGTATTTGCACATACAGTCACTAGAATAAAGTAGTTTGGTAGGACATCTGGACAAAAAAGAATTGAGTATGTGGGCTATAATTGTAACTCGTTTTATGAATCTACTTCTAAAACTTTTTACTTGAAACAGAATATATATGAAAAGATTCTGACATCTTTTATTCTGCAAGGATTCAAACACATACTTAAATTACAGTGGGACCAAATAAGTGCTTTCACAAAAATACATGGTTTTTCAAAACTGAGTCTTTTTATGTAAATACATATTTAAAAACACTTATAATTTTACACTTTTAGAAAAACGCTCCATGATTATTATAAAAGGGTGATCTGTGGAATAATTTCTCAGCATACTGGCAGATGACTTGTTTTTAATTATTCTTATAGTTTTCACAAGCCACTCTATTAACAAAATTCAAAGTTTTTGATATAAAAGGAAGACTCTTTGCATATGTGCAAGTGTGTGCTTGGGTGTTTCTATTTTCTCTAGGGAAAACTCAGTTGTAAGAAGCTGATGTGCTTTGGCCATTCACTTACTGTTACAGAACTTCTCTTCCAGTTTAGTTTTATTCACAAAACCTCAGGAGATTTTTCCCACAATCCATGAACTTGCACATATTCTAAATAATTGAAAATCAAAATCGTACATCTGCATCTATTTAACAAGTTTATCTATGAAAGCTGAACTAACATGCTAGAATTTCTAGCAACATAATAGTTCCTTCTTGAAGCTGTTCAGTCATAAAAATGACAGGCTAAATCTTAAAATTTTATTCTAAAATGTAAATCCTAAAAGTCAGTTTCTGTTTTCTGAGTTAAAGCAGTGTCTACAACGCACCATATTTTTTTTTTCTCTTCAGGAGATGCTTGATATCATGAAAGCAATATATGATATGATGGGGAAATGTACCTATCCTGTTCTCAAGGAGGATGCACCTAGACAACATGTGGAAACATTTTTCCAGGTGGGTTGGGTAATACGGGAGCCAAAAAGACTGTTCTGTTAGCAGTATGGAAAGATTTTCAGTGTTGTAACAATTTTGCATATCCTTCCAAGTTTGTAATCCTTTTTCTTTGCTGTGGTTCCATCCCACGTTTCTCAGATATATTCATTACACTTTGTCTTTTCAAGAATAAACTCTTTAAACTTACTCTAGCATATCACTTATTCCATCTTTACAGCGTTTTGGGCTGGTTGTTCCTAGGCTGACATATAGCTGAAATTACTCAAAAGAACTTGTTTTACACAGGATTTCAGGAGGATAAATATGCATTCTTATTCTTTCTGAACAGAAAATGGACAAAAACAAAGATGGGGTAGTTACCATAGATGAATTCATCGAGAGCTGCCAGAAAGTAAGTACCCAGTGATAAGTACTGAACCTGTATCTGTTGGCTAGTGCTATCATAGTGCTACACAGATTTCTGGAGTGATGGTGATGGTAATCCTAATACCAGAGACAGTATTTTCCCAAGGTAGACTATGTATGTACACCATAACATGAAAATACTAAACAATGTAAATAAAGTTGTGACCTGAATCTGTAGAAGAGATGTTATATACAAGCTGCCATTGCTTACTAGACAAATGTGTCTGCATCCCTCTCTCTTTAATAGTGTATTGTTTTACACTTGATAGCAAAACGTTTCGTCACGATCACCTAAATTTTTGTTTCTGTCTTCTGCCCATGCTGAGGAACACATTTATGTTACAATTGATATATAGTCACAGCAATAATAATAATATAGCTTGACAATTTAACATCTATAGGAGTGTTTCTCCAACACTGAATCATGACCTGCTGGAACTTGCCAAGTGTTAGATGGCAGGAGTTAACAGCAGGCAAGTTTACTTAAGGCAAGGGAATGAGAACTGATTGTGATTATGGGTTGCAAGTGTTTACACTACCCAGGTGGCTGTTAATTTCCTTCAACTGCTGAGAGCAGCTCGTTGTCTCTAGAGCTGGGAATGAGAATAAGCTTCTGCAGCAGGAGTTACAGCCTGTTCTCACTTCTCTGCCCTTCAAAAACCAGCTTGCTGTCAGACCAGGAGACGATATGAGGAAAGATAAGTTGCATTTTCAGAGATTTAAGGAAGTATTGTTAATTTGTTGGTTAAAAAAATGCAAGAAAAAGGAACATGATATAGTACAAATAATGAGGACAAGTTTTTGGTGTGATAAGAGGTCGTTATGTAAAGTGTCACATTAGACCTAGTGATAAGATAGGCTTGATTGAATTATGCAAATTGGTGGGGCAAATAAACCCAACACTATTTGTTATAATAAGAAATGTAAGGAATCATAGTAGTGTTCTACTGATATCTTGTCCAGGCTGACTCTGAGTAATATGAAGCTGACACAGACCAGCAATACAGCCGGTGTGTATTGCTTCTTACCTCCTATACCAAGGAAAGAGTAGACAAGAGACAGGAGAGAACAAGACTGGCAAGATAAATGCAATGAGTGAGTGACAGATTTTTCACCATTTGGAATAGGGAAAGCTGAACAGGAAGTAGCAAAGATGCTCTAGAACTAGTCTATTTTTATATGCATTTGCAGTTATTCCTTGGGGTTGCTCTCATGAGCACAGCTACCTAGTAAGTGATTCTCTGATTTTAATCCACCGATTTTAGAGGATGAATGACAAACAACAGCTTTTCCAACTGTAGCTGTTCTGTATATCCTTAGAGATGGATATTGTGCAGTGTCTTATTTGTCAGCAGTGCTCCATTGTATTAACCATGGTTCCAGCTTGTCAGTCTCGTTCAATACGAATGAAAGGCATTTGCTGTGCTAAAGCTGAGTGATTATCAGAAAGAGAGATGAGATTCATTTCCCAGCTGAGGCCTGCAGAGTTCTGGAAGTTCGATGACAGATTAATCTGGCTATGACAGCAATTATGGTGATGGGGTGAATGACTCATTTACAAAGAAAATTAGTACCTTCAGTAAGAAATTGCCTGCTCTCCTTTTCCAGTGTGATTCCCAGTTTCTCACGTCTGTTAGAAGATTTCTTTCTTACTTTTTCTGAGTATTCAGAATACATGTGAGAGAGATGCTCTCTAAACTGCTACGTGACAGAGACACCATTCTCATTGTGCCACTTACTTCAGCTTCACTAGCTTTTAATTTCAAAGGTGGCAATGTTTTTTGATACAAAAAGTCTCTCACTGCCTAAATTTTTATCTCTCTACCTGCTAAGACCTGTTCTGCTATTAAGGCCTCTGAATTGCAAAGTATATAATTCATGTTTATATCAAGATTTGGTTTCAGAAATGAGATTTGGGGTTAGGATTCAATCCAAGCCCTTCAAGAAACTTGATTCAGGAGTTAACATGGCTTCAGCCTGTTCAGGATTACATTTTTCACAAAGGACAGCAGTGGCTGCTTCCTTTTAAAACACAGCTGTAGGAAAATCTTTTTTTTAAATATCCTAATAGATATGAGACTGATCTTAAAAAGGTTAAGCTCAGGTTCCTTTCATTGCTCAGCATGCAGTGAGTCACATTGCTCCAGGAGTGAGGTGTCTCATCTTTCGTGAGCATTTGACAATGCCAAACCCAAAATTAAATGATTCTGTTATCTTTCCTGTAGTAAATCTGCATATGTTTTAGACGTGCCATACAATATTTTTATGTTTTCCATATGTTCCGGTGTTATAGAAAAACACTGGTTATCGTTATTGCCCTTCATTCGGTATCTCTTTTCTAAGCTGTAAAGTAGTCATTTATTCAATTTTTCCTCTTAGGGAAACCAGTCCATACCTTTAATCACCCTTGGCCCTCTCTCTAGACCACTGCTAGTTCTACTGTTACCTTTTGCTTAGCAAAATCAGGACATCCAGCACAGGGGCACAGCTGCTCCCTAGGCTTTGACAGCTATGGTGTCTTCGTCATCTACAAACCTTCCTTTGGCATTGAGGCTGATGTTAGAGTACGTCTGCTCAAAACCTTCCCTGCTAGTTTGCCTAACAAATGACTGTACCTCAGACCTTGGAATGAAAAGGCCCACTGATGTATTTGGCAGCCAGAGCTGCATCTGGTGCATGTGAGAATAAGCTAAAGACATGCAGAGCGTATGCTTGCCAGTTCTAGCTCGAGCTGTGAGACTAGAGTCAAAACAGTGCCAGGAGACAAGCACAACAAGAAACCTTCAACCAAACTCGAAAGCTCAGATCCCATCCAGTCTGAATCTTCAAGCAGACTAGAAACCTGTTCTGCCACGGAAAGGCTGCAGGAGCCTTTTCTTTGAATGATATCTCAGGCAAGAATTGCCATCCTCTAAGAACTGCCATTTGTCTATTTTGAGTTGGAAGCTAAATTAGTAGGTCTTAGAAGTACATCCTTTTTACTGGTGTTTTGTGATAATTAAGGAAAGTGTGGCATGCTTACTTTAAGAGCAAGAAGGAACACAGCAGAACATATTTGAATACAGAAGCTCCACTTCAGGTTCCTGAGGGGTTTTTTTAGCATCAAGAGTGTGTTCTTTAACACTCATTATACATGCATGTGCCTTTTCTAAAATTGCCTCCTCACAATGAGTACTGGTTTAGCACAACTACCAATGCAGTAGCACAGTCCAGCCTGAGGTACACAGCAAGTTCAAGACTTTTAATTCACAGTCCCAAAGCAGAGAATGGCTTGTCCATTCACATAGTGTTAAGCAGTTATGTAAGGAATTACAGAGCATTCAGGCTTTGAGCGTGGTCTTTCTGGTCACTGCCCATAATTAAGTGAGGGCAGCAAAGGTGCTTCCCCTCATTCTCCCTTTATCTTGGACTGGGAATGTGTATGACCTGATTTCTCTGCCCTCCCTGCCCTACATACCCATGTTCTTGAATTCCAGTAGCTGTCCTGACTTCAGGAGTCTCCCTGCTCCCACAGAGAAATGGACTATCCTGCCCTAGGTATGCTGGACTGAGTCCCAGAAAGTGGCTGCTGTCTGTCCTGCTTTATGTAAGTTACCAAATAGCAGAGACAGCCACACTACTGTTTCCCAACACCTAACTCAAGGGCTAGGTGCTAACCAGTTCCTCATCTGCCTCCTTGCACTGCTTGGTGTTGGTAGAAAGTGGTCTGACTCGGGCATTGCTTCATATCTACAGCAGCACCGTGAAGAACAGAGGCACAGGACTAAGGCATGCGGGGTGCATAGGTGAATGTCAGAGTGAACGACTTAAAGGTCCTTCTGATAATGATAAAAAGGCTTCTGGGATAGATATTTTCTGCAGGAGTAAGCCATTCCACACACAATGCTGATGATTTGGGCTAGCCTGAAAACACCAAAGGAGCCATCTCAAACATCAGCAAGAAAAACTTCGAAGTTGACCTGAAGTTAGGTCAGATCTGGCAAAGCACAGTCATTCATGTTTTGTGCTTCATACCGACTATGCTTCCTATGCACTAACACCTCCTAATGTCTTGAGTTAGGAATCATTAAACAAATACATTACAAAAATTATTTAGAAAAATGTACTGAAAAAGAGGCAAATGAGAAAGCTGCACTTGCGAAAGACTTACAATGTAAGCATCTGCTTTTTTTTCATTTATTTTTTAAAGATTGGAAAAAACTCCTACTAAAAGTCACATTTTCCAAATATTTTGACAAGCCTATATTTTTCTTGTGAAGATTCATCCCATTTGACTAACTAAAGGAGGGGCATTGGAAATCTTCCATATAGAAACAGCAAACTTCAGAAATATGGAGCTGATTTTAGAAAACCACTAGTTTCATTAGTGACAATATACATATTACAAAACTGATAGCAAGTGTCAAAACACTTTCTAAATTAAGATCATGTTGTTTGCTTTGCACATTTGCTGAGCTTAGTGGCCAATGTATATACAAAAACATTTGTAAATAATTAAATGACAAATGATTCCATTTAAATCAAACTTTAACCTTACATTAACCAGTTATCTTCTACAGCATATTGATGTTTCAAAAAAATGCAGTGGGAAAAAGTTTATTTTAATTTCCAGTAATTTAATATAGTAAATTTCCTATACAAACTTTTAAAGCATTAATCTACATTTTTTTTTTTGAAATTACCTATCATTGCTTTCATACGTGAGTTTATCAGCACAAAAAATTGCACAGATCACTTTTTACAGCAACATGACTTGAGATGACGTACGGAATCACAGATTAAAAACCCCGCTGTGCAAGTGGCGTAAAATAAATTAAGAAAATTACTCAGAATTGTCATTTTCTACAAAGCAAATCACCCACTAGACTGAAAAGTGAATAATTTAACTGCAAATTGATATTGAACATGTGCTGTTGGAACATCAATGTATAGATGGCCTACATACCTGTCAGTAGCGGAGAATACTGTGATATAACCTTTCTAAGAAGTGGAGTTTTTATGCACCTCTTATGACGACATGTCCTAAAATATCTATCAAGTTCAGTCTTTTTATTCCCTAAAATTAAAGATGGCTAGCTTATCTTTCAAGAAAGTACTAAAGAGTGTGGATTCAGATGGAAAAAGAGGATCGCTGCAGCGGAGACAAGCAAATGCTTAACTAGCATGTAATATCCTCTTTTATTGTATATTTATTGACTGCATCAAAAGAAGTGTGGCCAGCAGGTCAAGGGAGGTGATCTTTCCCCTTTTTCTCTGCTCATGTGAGACCCACCTGGAGTACTGCATTCAGCTCCGGAGTCCCCAATACAAGAAGGACATGGAGCTGCTGGAGCAAGTCCAGAGGAGGGCCACAAAGATGATCCGAGGGCTGGAGCACCTCTGCTATGAAGACAGACTGAGAAAGTTGGGGCTGTTCAGCCTGGAGAAGAGAAGGCTCCCGGGGGATCTTATAGCAGCCTTCCAGTACCTATAGGGGGCCTACAGGAAAGCTGGAGAGGGACTTTTTACAAGGGCATGGAGTGATCGGGCAAGCAGTAGTGAATTTAAACTGAAAGAGGGTAGATTTAGATTAGATTTAAGGCAGAAATTCTTCACTCTGAAGGTGGTGAGGCACTGGAACAGGTTGCCCAGAAAAGCTGTGGCTGCCCCATCCCTGGAGGTGTTCAAGGCCAGGTTGGATGGGGCTTTGAGCAACCTGGTGTAGTGGAAGGTGTCCCTGCCCATGGCAGGGGGTTGGAACTAGATGATCTTTAAGGTCCCTTCCAACCCAAACCATTCTAGGATTCTATGATATATTGTATTGTGCAACCAGCTGTTGATCCAGAAGCACCACCAAGTATGGGCTACTACAAGCGAACTCTTTCTCCTATACACTGAAAAGTAAATGTTACAAAAAATAGTATTTTTTCCTGACTGCAGTGCTGAGTTATTTACTAACAAAAACTGGAGTAGAGAGTCATGCATCAGTAAGCATTATGCAGAACTTGGAGGCTGAAGGTTTTGTTACCTACCTCATGCAAAGCAATCAGAAAGCAGAAGTAGTATTGGAAAGCAGTCAACATCCTTCAGTGTAAACACACAGAAAATCTGAGCTGAGGAGTCAAAGGCTGTTGCAGTGATATCTGTGGAACTTACTGACTCTTCAGTTCATGCAAAGATGCACACTTAAATCTGTTTTACTTTAGAGTCATCCCTAGCTATGCAATAGGATGCCCCAGAATTGCAAAAAGGCTCCTGTGTACGACACACGTGACTAGCAATTTCATGTACAGATTTGCACTTCAGATACAATTGTTCCTTGAGTATTAATTGTCTATATGTATTTTGTTATACTGGATATAAACTTATAACCTCTGAAGTACTACAAACAATTTTCTTAGTATGTTATTGCATTCTGGACAAAATAGTTTTGTTTTAATTAATATATTAAAAAGTCTGTTTAAGCATAGATCCATTAACAGCCTTTTTCTGCTAACAATTTCTCCAAACAAGCAGAAGAATAATGTTGCCATTGACTAAAATACAATTAGTTCTACCAAATTTCACTACAGATTTTCCAGCTACTTTTGTGATGGTGTATGACTTTCGAGTTTTTGTTGTCTTTTTTTACAGGATGAGAACATAATGCGATCCATGCAGCTCTTTGAAAATGTGATTTAATGAAGACATTAGGTCTACAACTGATGGACAAACGAGCTATTCTGCAACATTATCTAAAAGATGGATTTCCCACTTTATCATAAATAAAGTTACTCAGCTTTACACTGAGACATGTATTATGCAAATAATTTTTTTATTATAAAGTTTTCCCCCCAAAAATCTAAAATATACAATTCAGCACTTTAACAGTGGCTACTTAGTTAACAAGATAGTTCTGAAAAGTCAGGTTTTTACTCCAAACTCAAACAAAACAAGATGTTACATTATGCAGCTTTATTATCATTCCAGCTCCTAGATAAAATAGATACTATCACAAGGAGATTAAATCAATACTCTTAGTTTTGCTACTCATTTGTACTGGATTAAGCTCCAGGTGTTTGAGTGTATTTCTTAAATCTTAGCTTCTAATTTATACAGAGGCATTACCATGTGGTTGGTTTTTTTCTTTTCACATTTGTATGGTGTAGTCCTCATTTTTTTAATACTTTAAGTGCTACAATCAATGTGCAATGCACATCTTGCTGCAATTGCCTTCCACTTTTGACTTGCTTTTCTCTTCAAAAAAAACCCAAACCTAACAAAATAGGTAACTTGAGAGGAGGAACCCTCTCTCTCTCTCTCTCTCTCTCTCTCTGATAGAACAACAAAAACTGTTGCTTAAAGGAACTTTTACTCCCTAACAAATACAAGTAAGCTTCTATCAATCACACTTACACAGTAACTTTGCATTTAATTTATCATGACATGAATATCAGGAGTCCTCGATACTGTATTCCTAATTCTTCTTGGACATGTCCGCAAAGCTCTCTGCTTATAATTAAGGATTGTCTGACTTCGGATTTTTCATGAAGAAACCTTAACTGGATCCTAACACCGTTTTCATGAGTACGTGGTTTTCTGCCTTTAATGAAGAAAAAGGCATTAACTTTCTTGAAACTTCCATCCCAGTTCGGTGCTCAGAATGAATATCACTATGTAGTAACATCTACTAATAATTACTGCTAGACAGGCTAAGATCTCTTTCAGCTTTTTGTAATATCTTTAATTATGAGACAGAATCAGGAAAAAAATGGAAACTGCAGCTATATACTATCATCTATATGTGATAACTGTATAACATTTTTTTAGGATCATATCTTCATTAAGATTGGAGCTATCTTAATTCTGAACCTAGAAAGATTTTTCTAAAAATGTATGTACCTAAAATATAATACTGCCCTCCATCCATGTAATTTTTAGGATATATTGTCCACAGAGTTATGCCAATACTTCAAAATAGGTGAAATGCTATTGGAGATAGGCAAATCTTCATTGTGACATTGCTGCAGAAAGGAGACTAATGAAGTAGAAAGAATGTTGCAAGTATTCTTTTGCAAAAATAAATCAGGTATCTATTCTGGTGTAGAGATGGGATGTGAGAGGCATGTTGAAGGCTGCTCTGCTATCACCAGTGTAGGATAAGAGTAGTACAATACATGTACACCTGAAATCCGCTCTAATGTGTTTGTGTAAACTAAGTGTGCACATTTTGTAAAAAAAAAATAAAGTGAATATGGAAAAAAAAGCAGCATGATCGATTTTTTTGAGTTGTTAAATGAACATTTGTATTTCTTCAAATTAAATATTTCTGCCAACAAAATTATTTTTTTAAAAAAAAGCTTAACTACACAGATCTTGACTTAGCACAGTTCTGTTCTCAGCAGAGATCTTAGCAGAGTCTTGAAGAAAATTTAATTTAGCCAAGCAGTGGTAATTTTCCAAAAATTCTGAAATTGCTTTCACATGAGACTCTTTTAAAAGATGCAACAGCATCTTCTGATGACAAAAAAAAAAAAAAAAGCCTTTCCAACAACTTTAAATTCAAGAATTGAATTTTCCTCAGGGGAAAAGTTCTATAGCAAATTTTGTTACTCCAGTTAGCTCTCCCTCACAGAGTAACTCAAATACTCATAACGTGAACCCTGAACAGTATTTATTAGACGACCTGTTAGGAATTATTTTGCAATCAAGTTCAAATATGTTCATGGACAAACGCTGCGCCCTACAAGGCCTGACAGCCAGGCAAGCTGGCTTCTGTGACCTTTTTATTGTCTTTAACTCACATTTTTTTCATAGCTTCCACATTCTGAAGTTTATTAGCTTTTCCAGAGCTGAATTCACAATGTAGTCCCAATCATATCTGTGGCATTACAGAACTCAATGCAAAGGGAGCATGGTGTAAATACTCCTAAGTTGCATCCTACATTTAGCTCCCCTTCAGCAGATTCAAAGCTAACTGGAACTAATTAGTTGAGCAAAACCCAGGCTGTGGCTGTATGGAGCAACCTGATGCCTCTGCATTGTATTCTCCAGAGCCTCTCCAGCTTCTCAAACTAATGTGCTGAGAACGCATTGAGCAAGTTCAGTTTTGCACCATATGCTGCCTGTTTAGCGCATTCAGCCTCATACCTTTAAATGCTGACTCTCAAGAAGTCTAGATGAGGTCTCACACTTCTCCATCTAACCCAGCAAGTCCTGATGAACCCAAACTGCATCCATCTGTGCCTGTGGCACAAAGTTAGTTATGTGTTTCAAAAGCAAGTATTCGTATGTAATTTAACACCAAGTTAGTTACTATTTAAGTAATTACAGCCAAATTATTTTGCATCACAGAAACGTACAAAACATATTAAGCACTGCAGATCAATTAAAGGAAATTGTAATTTACAACAAAATAAGAATCAGTACTTACTCTGCTTTTGATATAACAGCCAGTCAGTCAATGTCTTGTAAGCACAATGCATATGCAAATAGCAGCCAATACAGAGAGAATTATGTTAAAGTCTTCCATAATTACATATTCACAAACCGATAGACTTTTCCCAGTCTCCATCACACTGAATATTTGTGATTATTTTAAGAGAATATATCACATCACAAATAAGTGTCAGTGATGTTCACAGACAGTTTCTTTCCAAACTTCACCTTAGAGTACAAATCACTACAGTGTTCTTGTTCAAGAGGAGATAGAACAATAGGTTGGAATTTTAGATTTGATGATAGCCACAGTTGCCTGTTGATGAAAATGAAACAAATTTAAACAAAATAAGGAGCACTAGCACTACATATGACAGTATTCATATAGTCTCTATAAACTGTACAATTCACAAGTTTTACTTTGTTATCTTTGCTATTGTCAAACAGTAGAAAACTAAAAATTTAATATTTGCTGAGAAATTTACTGTCAAAAGGGCTGAAAATAATGAACTGAAAAAATGAAGTATTGTGATAACTAATGATGGAGAGTAAATATTTGAGACAGATATGTAAATTCGTACGTAAAACTGGGCATAAAAATAGATGTGAAATAATAAGGATTTTTAATAAAGGATTTAATAAATAGAGGAGTGACATTCTGGAAAGAATTTCCTATAAAAGTAAGAATCATATACATTATAATTCATTTAGAATAGATATTTGATAAATTCATTAGTTGGATTATATAATATTGCTTGTAATCACAATTTAGGAGTTTGTTTCCAGTTTTCTGCCTCATTTTATTACAGTATTTTTAAAAGACACACAGAAAGACCTACTTGCAAAACCAGTAAGACTACAAGAAATCAGGGGACAGAGAGAAGAATTAGTGGTTAATGATTCACTGAATTAGTTACAATATTTAGGCCTAAATTTTCAGAACATCAAGATGTAATTTTCCTTTTCTTGTCTCACTACATATAAATAAAAAACTCATGCTAATTTATTTGTCGTGGGAAAATATTTTCTCTTCTAGATAAATATCCAAGCCAAGACTGTCTCACTTTTTCTTCTCTCCTCGTTTCTGCACAATGACAGTACAGCAGAAAATGGCAACCGAACGTTCAGCAGCAGAATACCCTGCCATCTATTACTTAAAGCATCTTTTTGATTTATAGCAATCGCAGATCTAACCTCGGGTTAACCAGGGCGGCCTGGAATGAGAGGGACCTTGACAGGCTTGACGGCTGTGCCTGTACGAACCTTATGACGTTCAACAAGGCCAAGGTCCTGCATGTAGGTCAGGCCAATCCCAAGCACAAGTACAGGCTGGGCAGAGAATGGATCAAGAGCAGCCCCGAGGAGAAGGACTTGGAGGTGTTTGTTGATGAGAAGCTCAACATGAGCCAGCAATGTGCGCTGGCAGTGCAGAAAGACAACGTATCCTGGGCTGCATCCAAAGAAGTGTGGCCAGCAGGTCGAGGGAGGGGATTCTGCCCCTCTGCTCTGCTCTCGTGAGACCCCACCTGGAATACTGTGTTCAGCTCTGGAGTCCCCAATACAAGAAGGACATGGAGCTGCTGGAGCAAGTCCAGAGGAGGGCCACAAAGATGATCTGAGGGCTGGAGCACCTCTCCTATGCAGACAGGCTGAGAGAGTGGGGGGCTGTTCAGCCTGGAGAAGAGAAGGCTCTGGGGAGACCTTCTAGCAGCCTTCCAGTACTTCCAAAACCTTGTAGGGGGCTACACTTCTTGCAGGCGGCCTACAAGAAAGCTGAAGAGGGACTTTTTACAAGGTTGTGTAGTGATAGGACAAGGGGCAATGGCTTTAAAATGAAAGAGAGCAGATTTCAATTAGATACAAGGAAGAGTCTTTTACAATGAGGGTGGTGAAACACTGGAACAGGTTACCCAGCGAAACTGTGGATGCCCCATCCCTAGAAGTGTTCAAGGCCAAGTGCTGAGCAACCTGATCTAGTGGAAGGTGTCCCTGCCCATGGCAAGGGGGTTGGAACTAGATGATCTTTAAGGACCCAAACCATTCTATGATTCTATGATTCCGATTTCTTCAGTAAGTGACCTAAACATTAAGCTATTAATGGGAATGGTTACACATCATCAATAACACCAAAAAGGATCTTTTATCAAGTGTAAGTCCTGTTGAGAAAAGTGTTTAGGCTCAGGAAAAGGAACACAGAGCCTGCATCTCTGGTACATTAAAGCAAGACAAATATTCAGCCTCGTTCAGGTGTCAATACTTCAGAAGAGGCCAGAAGCTACTTACTAGCTAACGTTTGGTGAATTCCTGGATCACTCTTCATGGGAATCTATCCTACTCTATGGTCTGTTAAGAAGCTTACATGCTTTACTCAGCGTAAACA